AGTGAGAGACATCCCACTGTCCTCATTTCCTTGGTGTCCTCAGTGCCCTTTGGAGAAATGGAGACTGAGGTAAGTGCAGTTGTGTGGAGAGCAATCAGTTGTGTGCTGAGCTCATGTTTAATAAGCAGCTGAGGTGACAGCCAAGTCACCTTGGGCAGCTTGGTAGCAGTGAGTGTCACTCCTTTCTAAAGTGATCCAGTGCTTGACTCACCCCTGAATTGTTTGCAGACAAATGGCATGGTTTGACTGTCAGAGGGAGGTGATGGAAAAGGCCGTTCTACCAGCCAGCTGAAGTGATTATTTGAAACAGAGGGATTGCAGAACCTCCTGGGTGTGGTTTTTTCAGGCTCTCCCCCTTCATACTCTTTTTTTTCCACTTGCTACCCTTTTTCTAAAGAAAAGCTCTTCTTTTACTGCTGATGGTATTTTCTGTCAAACGTGCCTCTTGTCCCTACTTCACAATCTCTCCCCACCAGAGGGGGAGTGTATGATAATAGTCTTGGGGATTTCTCAAGTGGTCTCTTACCAGCCACCAAGTTCCAGCTGTTGGAAAAATTTTAAGCATCTCCTCCATCAGTTTCCCCCAGCCCTTGGCCTTATCCTTTGACTCGGATTTGGGGCTTTTAGTAGGAAACCCATCAAGAGTCGTAGTGATTCTGATGAAGGTTTGTATACATGACCTTGAGGACTTGGAGGTGCAACACACAGTGCATTGAAGGCAGTAGGAGGCTTTCCACAGGCTTTGGTGCACTTTGGCTCAGGCTTTTGAAGAATAACAGGAAATATTGGAAAACTGCATCGAGGGTAAACAGAGCAGTTTAGTTACATTAACTGTCTAGAGGAGAAGCTCCACTAATGACCGAAACAAACAAAGCAAGTGCAGTGGTTTAGCGTTGCTGTGGGAAAACAAGCGGCTGATAATTGCTGTTAGTTTAAAAGAGTTACACAAGGAATTGGCCAGCTCAGGCCGGGAGAGTAGTTCTGGCATCCTGACCCAGTTCTGGGCGCTGCACAGACGCTGACGGGGGAGCATGTGCTGGAAAGGAGCACAGACTGCAGGGAGGCCAGAGGCTGAATGCTGTGTTTTATTCATAGCATTGCTACTCTAAAGTCTTGTTCTCCAAAAAAATGCATCAGAGAGATCTGTTGTTGCTGCCTCCCTGTGACTCCTGATAAGGTTTGCCTTGCTGTGATTATGTTAACAGTCAGGACTCAAAAGGGTCAGCCAGCTTGTTTCTGGACTCACATATGATGAGCAACAATAAATAGGCTGCAGGACTCCTCTGGTGAGGCCGTGGTGTCTTTGACTAGTAACCAATGCATTATTTATATTTGGAAAGAAGCTGGAGTGTGAAACCAGATCCCAGGGTGCTTACTCTGAATAAATATTGAATGAAAGGAGTTTAAGAGCTGAGGTCTGAGCTGTCCTTGTTTGCCTTTGTGGAATGTCATTGTCTTCAGGAGGAGAATGTGAGGAACTGAAGGCTGAGATTTACCTTGGGGTTAGAATGGAGGAGTGACTGCGGTAGTGACAGCAGGGAGGGACGAGTCCTGCTCATCCATCGTGGCTCTGCTGGCTTTGTAAAGGATAAGAGGCAGCAGCACGTGTTTGTGGTTCCTGGTAAAATGGACAGTTTTGGCTGGGAGAGCACAGAGGGCAGTGGGTCTGCAGGGCAATGCAGGGCTGTTTTGACATTCCTACTTCTAATCTAAGAGCTTTTCCTATCAGCTCATTATTCAAGTTCTGTTCATGTAAGAATAGAACTCCTTCCTAAGGCAGAGTATTTCAAGAGACTGATTACCTGCTTCTAATTCCATGTGAATTCTGAATAGCAGGTAAGATTAGGGGATCACAGAGGAAATGCAAACTCCTGATTCAGCATTTGCACTGCTGTTTAGGACAAACAAATACTGCTGTGTCCCATTTATTTCTGTTAAAAGGAGGGGGGCTGTTCATTAGTGAAAGGAATCAGCGTGGCATTGCATTTACTACGTGTAGAAAAACCTGGCCCCTTTGATGTAGCTGGAGACCCTTGAACTTCAGAAAAGAATGTGTTAGCATGCTAGAGTATGCCTGAGTCCTGCAGGTCAGTTAATCCTTTTCTCAAGTGAGTCATTGTAAGGTAAAGTAGATGCTGAGAAAAGTTCTACATTGCCAATTAAAACAGGCTCCAAAGGTGTTGCTGGTTTCAGTCTACCAGAAACTCATCACTGAGGGGCCAGGAGGGGCTGCCTGTGTACCTTGAGGCCAGATCCTAGGCTAATATAAACTGGCTTGGTTCTCTGGATTTAGCAGAGCTCCTTTGCTTTATTCCAATAAAGGTATTCCTTTCAGGCTCAATTCCTTTATGCTTATGACTTTATGACTTTTTAAAGGATTTCTGTTAAGAAACCTGGAATGGTTCAGGAAGGTGTCGATTTCCACACATGTAAGAATTGAACAGATTTCAGAAGCAGCCTGTAAATAACTGGAGACATGAGTTCTGACTCAGTCTTTATAGAGGATACATTTTATCTGCCTCAGACCCCCCTGCAAAATCAAAGCTGAATAATGACTGGCAGCCTCAGCATTTCTCCTTTTGTGAGGTCAGGTTTAAAATAAAGTTAAGGACAGGAATGTACTGATTAGTAGCTGCTACCCTTGTTGTTCACCAGCAAAACCCCACTTTCAGCATGTTTAACAAAAAATATAATTGAAACTATCAGAAAGCTAAGGCATTTCTTAATGAACAACCCTAGACCAAACACTATTGTTTTGTGGAAGGGATAAAATCAAGGAGCCTAAACCACTTGGGAAGTCAGGAAGATGATTTGTTTTCACCCCTTTGAAGTGGAACAGCTGATGTGCTGACCAGGAGGCCTTTCAGGAAGCTGTTGGAATGGGGTGGCTGCCAGATCCCGTCCCACAGGAGCCTGGACAGAGCAGAAACCTGAAGGACCCAGCTTTCAGCCTCAGCACTGGGGCAAGCACAAGGCAGACAAGCTGCAAGAAACCTTGGAAACCTCCTTGTCTCATCTCCATTAGAAAAGTTAACAGGATTGCTGCATGCCCAGGAGCCTTCTAAACTGGCATTTCATGGCAAACTTCCCTCTGGAAGATTTCCAGCCAGCTTACATACCTTACTCATGGTACTGAGCCCTTCCTGTCCTGACTTTTAGGAATAGGATCTTTAGATGGGCTTGTTTGCATTGGAGGAATACTGCTGGAACTTTCTTCCTAGCATGTGAAGAGTTTTCTCTGTGTGCAGAAACAACGTGGGTAAAATATTTGGAGTGAAATCCAGGCTCCACTGAAGTCAGTGGCAAAACTCCCGTTCACTTCAGTGGAGCAGGAATTTCACTCTCTACTGTTTTGAAGTAGGAGCTACTAATAGACTGTTAGATTAGTCCTGCATGCATCAAACAAAATGTGCTTGATGTGAATGTTTCTGCTGTGTTCAAAACCCACAAAGGTTAGAAAACAAGAATAACTATGAACTTCTGAGTCGAAAAATTATATTAAGTGTAGTTTTGCTAGAAATAATAATGTCCCTGGAGACAAACCTAAAATAATAGACTGCACCGTATAATCTTCACTTTAAGTTAAAAATAGCAGAGATGGTGGTTTAATCTAAACCATAATTATCAAACTGCTGAAGCTGGTTTTGGTTCACTGCAACTAGAAATGGATGTCATGTTTGGGCTTTGAACAGTCAAGCCCCACACCTGGAGAGAAGCAAAGCCAAGAGCACAGTCAGAAAGCAAACAGGAGCCTCTGATTTACAGAGAAATAGCACAGATTAGAGAGTCCAACTCCATATGTAAAGGTACTGCCCTGGCTTGCTCCATCCAGCCAGCTGGAGACCCAATGAGTTCCTGTTAATCTGTGTTTTCAGCCCCAAACTGGTGACATTTTGCTAGAAGGTGACACTGGCCCTACAAGACACCTTTTGTCTGAAACTCATCTTCCGTTTCATCTTGGAATTGAAGGAGGACTGTTAGTGTTTCAAACAGTTACTGCTCTGCATGATTCTCAGAAAGGGATTTAATGATAATTTCAGAGCAGGATGGAAACCCTTTAACCTTTCACTGCCAGGCACCGTGGGATGGGCTGAGTGTAGGACTGAGTCAGGCTTCTGACACGGCACTGACGCAGGAGGTGAACTTGGTCACCTCATTTATCCCTGTTCACAAAGGCTGACCTGCAGCAGACAAGTCTCACCTTCCTGTAGAGGCAACAGAGGTTTATTCTGAGCAGGATTTGGTGCAGCAGCCCCATTCTGTCCTTGCTGGGATGGGCACGGGGCAGTCTTGGTGCTTTTTTGGACAGTGCTTGGAGAAATGGGGCGTGATTCTGCCTCGGGCTCCAATCTGAGCACTGCTGTTCCAGAGTCAGAGACTAATTCAGTTTGGAAGGGCCACTGGAGACCATCTGATCCAGCCACTGCTCAGAGAAGGATCAGCTTCAAAGTTAGATGACAGACTGTACAATACCACTGATTTAGAAACATGTTTTTCCTAATGGTGTATTCCAAATTCACACTGACAAAACAACAACATTGGCCCATCTCTGGTATTAATTTTGATCATTCCCTCAATGTGATTATAGGGATCATATCCACTAGATTTGGGAAAGCAATCCCAAATTTTCATTAGATATTACCTTCAATATTCTAGCAGATATCCTTCCACTGGGCTACATCACTTCTGCAGGTCACATCTCATGAACCTCAAATAGTTTCACATTTTCTGGTAGAAAAGTCCATAAGAAGCCCATTTTAAAGTTTCAAACACATAAACACTAAACCCCTTGTGAAATTAAGGCAACGGATAACCTAAAGGAACCTGTAGTATTAATTTAACAGGTGCCCAGAGCAGTGGGTGAATGATTGTGTGTTATATGTGCAGCCTGGTTTCGAGCTGTTAATTGCTAAGAGTATAATTACTAATTGCAATGGGAAATGAGAAACCCACATCATAACTTGATAGGTTTTTTGTCCTGTTTTGTTCTCCTCCAACAGCATGGGGATGAGCCACGATGATGACCACCAGCCCTGTGCAGGGAGGTCCCACATTATGTCTGGAGAGTGGGTGAAGGGCAGGAACCCCAGTGACCTTTCCTGGTCTTCGTGCAGCCGTGACGACCTGGAAAACTTCCTAAAGTAAGGATTGTGCTGAGGATCAAAGATCCTGCAAGGCAAAAATGCAAAGTGTTATTTGAAAATGGAAGTATAAATAACTTTCCTTCAAAAAAAGTGTGTGTGCATGTGTCATTAGGGTGTGCAGGTTGGATTCTGTCTCCACTACGGTCGCCCCTTTGAAACTGAGGATTACAGAAAGGCAGAAGAATTATGTGCTGATAATTTCTTAAATATAATTCTAGACCACCTTCATTTTACAAGAAGTGCCCTTCATGTTTGCAGTGACAGAAATTTGTATGTATGTAGCCTGCAGAAATCTCTGCTGGAGGATGCTGCAACTTTTTGCTGTGGCTTTTACTGCCTATCTTGTTATTAAATAGCTTTTATTTTATTTTTTATTTTACCTGGAGGTAATTCTGATATGTTTTCTCACTCTTCAGTGAGTGTTGGTCTAAAATGGTCCACTATAAACTTATTTTCCACTGTTTCAGCTCATCATATTCAACAATTCAGGAAGGACTTCTGTCCTGATGCTTCTTAACTCTCATGTACACTGGAATTGTCTGAACTCTGCGACTGGGCTCTTAAACCTACAGTGCAGCTCTCTGACAAACAGTTCCTGGCACAGTGGCCAGTACTTTTGTTGCTAAGAATGGGTTCAGCATGGAAAATTTCCCACTCTAAGGGTTAGAGGTGGCAAAGAAAGGAAAATGATGAAAGAAAATGGAATATCTACTGTTACATTAAAGGCATGAAGTTGAAAAAGAAGTTGCATCTGAACTCACCTGGTTGCATCTGGTCCCTGAGATGGGAGAGATGACAGTGATATTCTAATTTGTAAAAGATTGTTGTGAAGGCAAAGAGAAAAATCTTTCCTTTATGCCTGTGATCGATAAGAAAAGAAATCAAGGGCTCAAAATTCAGCTGGGGGGATTCAGGTGAGACGTGACAGAAGACTTTCTTGCTGTCACTGTAAGGCTTGTGAAGCTTTGGGCTGGATAACCTGGGAGCAGAACTGAGTCTCCATGAGATTTCTAGGAACAGTTTAGATGAATGTTTAACCCAGAATGTTGTGAATGTAGTCTGTTCTGCCTTGGGGTTTGTGGACAAGAGTGAGTTCCCAAGGACCTTTTTCAATTATTTAGAAGCTTCCAGATATATAGTGGGAAAAATCTCCACTGTTCCGTCAGATTAAAGAGAGGACAGCAGCTTCTCTGCAGCAGGGATCTAACACTGCAGTTCAGAGGTGTTTTCCCTTAAAAGGCTCTGTAATTCCTGCCCTCCCAGGTCCAAGGTGAGCACGTGCTTGCTGGTGACAGACCCCCGGAGCCAGTTCTCCGTGCGGCTCCCTCACAAGCTGCCGGGGATGCACTACAGCGCCGACGAGCAGTGCCAGATCCTCTTCGGGACCAACGCCACCTTCTGCAAGAACATGGAGGTAAGAGCCCGTGGGCTGGACCTGGAAACAAGGTGGGAAGTGGAAATAAAGCTGTCAGGCACCGAGGGAGAAAAGAGATCTGTGCTTTCCTCAGCGTTGCTTAGCGGGAGTTGCGGCGTGTTCAGCGCTGCTGAGGGAAAATCAAACCCCCGCTGACCTCCCTGTCAGCAGCACATTCGGAGACACTTCTCCTCTTTTCCCCACACTGCCCTTGTTAATCTCCTAAAGCAGACCCAGAAAAGCTGGTGTTTGCACTTTGTTCCTTCCTGACACTGTTTTGCTGAAATACTCAGCAGAGATTGTTTTCCTGGAAGTTCAGCTGAGGTGAAAGCCTCTCCTCACAAGAGTGCTTGGCTCCTTTCACAGAGTCAGCTTAGATGACTGTCTGGATCTTTCCGTAGACTTCACCTTCAGACCACTACAGAGAAAATATTAATATCTGCTTGTTAGATGAGGCCATTTAGAATTTTGTGCAGAATCCTGTGTATTTTCTAAGCAAAATGATGTTTAATCAGGATTTGGGTGCAGTGTGGCTTATATCACATAGTTGGTTGGCAAAACAGAAACACTGCTTGTTGGTGTCTCTGGAAGTAGGTTGTATTTGAGATGAGGCTGTGTGACATGTCCTCTGGAATTAAGACAGCTAAACTTTTCCTAAGGTCTTTTTATTCTGAGCATATCTTACCTGCATCCCACTTTAGGCAGGGACTGGGGATGAGCTTACTTCCAGTGTGGCCTTGGAGATACCCAGAGGAAAGTCATGTAGCACCGTGTTGGGTCACCAACATCCCCTCCTTTACAGACAGGCAAGAAGCAGCCAAGTTTCTTGCTGTTTTTAACTGGCCATTTGTCTTCTTCAGTTGTCCCTCGTTCCCACTCTGAACAAGTCTGGGATCTTAGATCAGTGTTAGGAAATAAAACAATAATCGCCGATAACTGGGGGTTTCTAAGTGCCAAATTACTAAAACTGTTGAACACATGCAAGTCCTGGGAACGTGCTCTTAGTTTCACATTAGCTGTTTTATTTATTTTGGATTTGGAAACTAGCTAATATAAAACAATAAGAAAAGAATCTGGATAGGTTGTATTTCCCAGCTCCATCAAGAAAACGCAGACCACCAGGACTACTGTACTGGAAGGAAAGTGGTGTAGGTCTGTGGAGAAAACCCCAGATCTACCCAGCATGACTCAAGTTCTTCCACTTGTGTGGGTGTCACCCAGCTTGACTGCTGTTGGAAGAGATATTTGCTATTTCCCTTCTTGGGATGAAAAAACATTCTGTTTCTGGATATTCCAGTGCCTAATGAGAATGTCAGCCCACTGGTAGGTGGTCAGCCTTTCTCACACACAAATTGCATGTCCAGTCTGGAATTGCTTCAGGGACATGTTGTTTACCAGAATAAGGTGCCAAGAGGCACAGTTCTCTAAGATACAGACAGCAGGTGTTTGTGCCTCCTAAGATTTTTCACCAGTCTTATTATTTGACACCTTTAGAACACAATGAAAACTGTGCTCTTTTGCTTCATCACTCTCTTTAGTGTCTCCCCAAGAAAGGCATATTTTGTGAGGACTTGAGTACTTTCTAATGAAAAGTCTTGTAGAGGTTTAGCAGATTAAAACCAATTTGCAGTCATTTAGAATTATTTCTGTTGCAGATGTGCATTGAAAGTGAGCATTCACCCTGTGAAACCTTGGATCAGTCATGTCACGTGCCATTCATTTAAGTAAATATTTGCATCCTGTTACGCTGCTCTGAATTGGCTTTTGAAGGCAATGAAAGGAAATTCTTTAGAGGAAATGATCACTTTTGATTTTTAAACCTCTCAAGTTTGTGTTCTTTTCATCTCTGTGTTTCTCAGGCCTCATCTGCACAGTGCTTCTATCATAAGTCTCAAAGCTGTCTACAAAAATATGAACCAAAAAAAAAATTGGCACTGGTCACTGGCATTAGCTGTAGAAATTACTGGCAAATACAGCTGTCTCCTCTTCTAGCCAATGGTAATGTGGTATTTTTAATTCAATAAAGTATTAAAAAAATCCAAATGTAAAAGCAATAAACATTTGACAGTAAATATTTGTTACAAAAAGGAAATAAACTTCAGGAAATGAGCCTTCTCAATCTTTTTATGATTACATGTGTCTACTGCCTATTTTCTTATATAATAAAAGAGCTACATTACTATATTTCTTTGGAGATAGTTGAGCTCCATAATTATGTCAGGCAAACTAGAGGCCCTGTGTTCAAAAATGCCATGCACTTTGGTTTAGAGCAAGTTTCAGAGATTAGATGATTCCAAAATTTCAACAAACTGCAGAAGCTTTCTGTGCAGTAAAGTCTCTCCTTTAAAGGCATCAAAGCCCAAATTTTTGAAGGAATGTAACCTCCTTTGCCTTCACAGAGAGTCAGGTGCCTGAATGCTTGGCAGCTCCTGGACCTCGGACACCGCTCCAACCAGATAGTTAATCCGTGAATATTCACCCTCATCTGAATATTTGGGATTGCATCCCCAAAATTCTTCTTCCATTTTGTTTTTAATGATAACTCAGATGCCCTGCAACAAAACTGTAGCTCTCAGAAAATGCTCAGTTTGCCAAACGAGCCGTCCTGCAGCTGTTCTGCTCCGAATGTGCAGAACAGAGATCAAAACGTCTGAGGAAGGCTCAGCTTTACATACACTGAACCTCCTGACAGTCCTTCTTCCTTTGCTTGGACGCTGCATCTACATTTTAATACACTAAAATTTAAAAAAATGAACTAATTAGCAGAGTGAGTGTGTGATGGTCAGAGGATTCGTAGCCTGTTGTAATCTGTGACCTCCAAGGTGTGTAATTTAGGATCTGGTTCTGTAACATCAGTGTTAGGTCAGATTTACTAGTGCATGTCACCTTTTTGAGGAGCTGTGAATCAAGCTTTTAGGCTGGATGTTTGTAAGGCAGGGAACAATCAATTTTTCAATTTTTATTTATTTGAGAAGCACTGTTTCTATTATTACACAGTATGATTAATAAATGGCAAGATAACCTGCCAGGCCCTTGAGGGAAGACAAGTCCCTCTGGGTGTGTGCTCTGCTTATAGTTTAATTGGTTTGAGATGAATCCAGGTGCCTGGTTTTGGATTAACTTTACCCTGAGTATTGCATGGATAAGTCCTTACCCACCATCAGGAAAGCAAAGGTTTCCATGGCTCCAAGGAAGAATTAGTTTTGGTCTGAGGAACTGGATAAGTTAGTCTTTCCCATTGTAAATGTCAGGCATTATCTGATCCATGTAAATACTTATCTGTCAGGATTTAGAAATGTGCTTCTGCCATGCCAGGCATGCTGCCTGTTTCCAGCCATGCCCCTTGCAGTGCCAGGAGAGCTTTGGCCCACCCAAGAGGTTGCACAGGGATCTTTATTTTGAGGGAGACAAGTTGCTTTTAGCAGGAATTAAATAGATGACTGTGTCATTCTCAAGCTCTGAGCAACACCACGATAATTGTGGAAAAAGCTCAGCAAGAATGCACCTTTGACACTACAAAGTGCATTATCAGTGCCCCCCAAACTCCAAGATCTTTGGGGATTCTGGCTGCTAAACCTTGACATGAGTCCAGGGCTAACATGGAAGCAGTTGTGCAAATTACGGGCAATTCAACCTGTCTGACCTCTGTCCTTCAGCTCCACACTGTGCTATGAATCAACTATTGTGAATTCATTTGACCACTGTGAAAGAGGAAACAGAAAGTTCAACCCCAGCCAGGCAATGGAGGCTCTGCAGGGAGCAGCAGTTAACTCTTTGCTTCCCTGGATTTATTCCGAGAGGAAGAGCAGGGGTGGTTTATGCTGAATCTCTCACAGAGCAGAGATGTTTCTCCACCAGAAATACATCAAAACACCTTTATAACCTCCACCAGAAATGCATCAAAACACCTTCACAACCTGCACCAGAAATGCATCAGAACACAACCATAAACTCACATGAAAAGATACCACATGTTTAATCACTAATTTTCAGACTGGCACGCCCACCAACAGAGGCTTTTGCACTGAAATCCTATTGATGGGGAAAAACCAGGGATTTCTATCTCTTCTATCCCGTGTTTGGCTTTTTGTTTCATAAGCCTTTTGGCTTATTTATTATTAACACATTTTTGCGGGTTTTTATATAACCCATATCTGTGTTTTGTTTTGAGTCAGAACTGGGCTCGGGCTGAAGTGGCTCACAAAAAGAGATCAGAATTGCTCCAAAAGAGGTTTTTTTCTGAGCAGGGACACTGTCAGCTCGGATGTAACTGGGAATGAGAATTTTGACATGACAGCGTTTTTAGAAAAATTAAACCAGCTTAGAATTGGCTCTACTTAAGTTCAAGTTGTTTTATAACAATTGTAAGCATTTCCCAGTATCTACAAGCTACAGAACAGGGGGGCAAAACTGATTCCAAGCTAGAGGAGACTGACTGGATTTCTGGGCTAATATGGAAAAGGAGATGAACTAAAAAACAAAGTAAAGAAAGAGCAGCAATTGTAATGATCAAGTGGATTTTATGTGCCCCTTCAGTTTTCATATTTGAGGGTGGGGTGGTGAATATAATTTAGCAATTGTGGGTCTCTCTGTGGTCTTGATCTTGCAGAGGGACTGGTGGGGTGGGACTTGGACTCCGTGCCTGGGAATCAATGGGCCTCTGTCTGCCTTTTCTCTGCAAGATGCCAAGGATGATGCTGAGCCCTGTTATTTAGTAATGTATAGAATATTTACAGGAACATGGTAATTAGATTGAAAACTGATTTATCCTGAAAATAATACGTTGCATTGTCATTGTCTGTACAACCAGGGACTTTGTCTACATAATAATACTTATAAATCTGGAAGAGGATGGGTTGGGTTTTCTTGAGCCTGGCAATTCTAAAAAAAATGAGAGTTTTTTGAGAAGTAAAGGTAACAATTTGCTTAATTGCCATAGTATAGTTTATAGTTTTCCTCATGTAGGTTGTTAGAATTCAGACTATTTTCATGTTGCCTGT